AAAGTTTCAGCGAAACTGAAAAATATCTTACAGTTCCAATCCCACTAGCCGTATTTCAAGGGCTCAAAAGGCACATGTGGCAGAGTCCGCCAGATTGAACACAGGTCTAATCCTCTGCATGACAGGAAAGTCAATTTAGAATTCATGGATTCCTTTCATTTGCTCTATTGAAGTGTCTTCTAATACCCATTAATTACTGAACTCTTCAGTTAGGGGCACACTGGATCTCTTTTGCAGACTAAACTCCAGATGAAAAATAATGCAAAATGAAATAAGTGTAGTTTGAGAAACAAAATTCTTTGCCTAAATGTTTCTGTGAGGTCAGTAAAGGAGAAAGGAGGGTCTGCCAGCAAACACCTGAAGGGGCGGAGAGTCAGGGTTTGCCTAATGAAAGTAATGAGGGACTGAACAAAACTCACTTACCGGTCTTTTCACCCACAAGTGATGAGGGACCAATTGAGGTTCTTACTGGTTCTGTTCCCTGAACATTTCAAATTCTCCTTCCTTTTTTCACTGATTTCCCTGCAAGCCATCCTCAGCTTATCCTGTCAACAGGACCATGCCGGAAGCCAGTAAACTAGTTTTCCTGTTCTAACCAACCCTCCAGAGCACTGCGATAGCAACCTTTCTAAAACATAAACCTGGTCAAACCACTATTTAAAACTCGTATCTGGCTCTTCACCACCACCTGCAGGATTAAGTTCAAACTTCAGCATGCGGCTCAAGGTTCCAAAGGCATCCACTGTGTTCCAGCCACCCCACTCGTGTGCTTCCCACTGAAAGACCCACCTCGTGCTCGAAATTCAGAACTACGCACGATTTCACAAAGGGCTACTATATTCATCTGGGATGAGTAATTTACTATGATTCATCTGGGAAACAAGTTCTTAGTCCTTCTAAGTTCTAAGGACTAGTTCTAAGGTCACCTCTGGAAAATTTTACAGGCTCATGCAGATTTGTGCTCTCCACACCTAGAATACCTTTAGCACATGTTACATCAGATTATAATGAGCGAGGAGCAACTTGAAGTCAGAGACCAGGGCTGGAGGTCTCTATTTCCAATCTTGGAGCAGTGTCTGACAAGAAGAAATTGCAAATGACTATGGATCAGTATGGTGACCAAGAAAAGTACACTAAGAACAACTCTGATCACCAAAACGGACCAACTACACGAAGTGACCCGCCATCGCGGTTGTTCGAAGTTACCACTAGCAAGCATCGTGCCAAGGACGAGAGGAAAAAGGTTCTGGTAACTCACAAAGCTCCCAGTGTCGAGCACATGCCTCTCACACCTACGTCACTGATGAGAACCAGCCACCTGCACCAGCGTGACTATTACTCAGGAACCAAGCTCTGCACCCTGCAGACGTCTTCCACCCAGCTTTAGTCACGTGGTCATTCCTCTCCAGCATCCTTGACAGACTGGGTTTGTTAAGAACTATATGAAGTTGGGGAACAGTACGAGTGGGTGTGCCGCAGAGGGGCGAGACTCCACTCCCCGGGCTGTAGGGCTGGTGGATGAGGCATTAATGAAGACAGTGTTGTGCTGACAGGCTCCTTGGGGCCTGCGGCTTACTCACTGTGCTAGGAAGGGTGGCGAAACCAGCAGGAAGAACTCCCATGCCCACCTGCCTCTGGGCACATTGGTGTAGTAAGCAGAATTTCTTATGACAGGGCCAAAATAATTTAATGCTTTTTAATGCATTGGAGTGATTCAAAGTTTGCCGACTTTAAAAACTGCCATTCCTTACTTAACAGATTAAAAATGTTCATGTTGCTAAAGAAACTACAGAAACTGGTTGGCAAGCCACCTTGTTTTCCCAATTCCTATAGACTGGTTGGCTAGAATCACCTGGGGAGCAATCTACTTAGAACATTTTATGTTTCACTATCTGGAGGAAATGAAACTTAGATATTTCCCAAACTCTCGTAAGATTCTAGTAAACACTATCTTCTTCTGTAAGATTCTTCTAACATATGATCTGTTTATTAAAATTGTCTTCACAGTACTTATGAAATTTAAAATCAATTTAAATTTGAATACCTAATAATACTCCAAAATGGGAATTCTCGGTATATAGAACATTACATAGAACAGGAAAACTTTATTCCAAATATATTTTCCTTTTGTGTTCCCTTCGGTACTTGCTTCCTCTCAAGAACATAAACTAGAATTTATAAAGTAACATGGACATAATACTTCATTTACTTTTCATACACTTACTTTTCAACAATTATAAGGAGGAACAAGACTTCTGTTACAGAGGTAAAGTTATATATTAAGCATTAGGTAGAAAATGCGTACTTTAAAAAGTGTACATCTTGGCAAACATTCATTGTCATCTGATTTTAAATGATTTTTTTAAGCATCTACATTAAAAATTCACGTTTGTTATAGAAAGTAGTTTCTAAAAAACAAATGGACTTTTTCTGAAGAGTTGGGAAGTCACATTTTTAAAGTTTATATATACAGTAAAATACACATGTGAAAAGTAAAACATAGAATCGATTAGTATTACCCCACCAACACAATGTCACCATATTTGAAAGCATTTATTTAAAATATGTCAAACTCCTTCCAAAAGACGGAAGACACGTGAGCCCATTTCTTATTTTAAATGAGGTATATGGTAACAACGACAAAATTCCTAAATGCAAATGGACCATCAGTTGCCTAGATATAAAAATGAACTTTGGCAAAGACGTGTCATACAGAACAACACAGCCAATGTACCATCTCCCCATATCATGGCCCTTGTCCCCCATTCATCCTTCCCCTTTCCAAAGGGTGAGTTACAATCCTGTCCCAGATGACTCAGAATTTTAACTATGTGGTCTGCTAACATTTATTTGTCTCAAACCTCAGTACCACGGCTATACAAATTACACTTTTTAAAATATTTGAAACAGATATTGAATTTATTGGTTGGCTATGAGTAGGAAAATACATCAGTAAAGAAAAGAGACCCTGTATATAAATATAATACTAGCTAGTTACAATTTGACCAAGAAGGTTCCACTGAAAAGAACAGTAAAAGCCCTTGTTACCACCAGTCCATAGGTACATATTCGGTTTCCCATCACCCTTATCAAAGAGCTGCCTAGGCAAATGCGACATTCTTTGAGCTTAGTGCAGATAATGTGCTGAGTTTTGTTACATGAATGGTAAACAAAAATTAGTCCAGTGCATTACACAATATAATGTACTGTGAACAAAGACTAGATACTCTATTTTAGACACTACTTCAACATACCGGTTATTAAATCTTATGTAACCAAAAAGAAGAGCAAAGTGAACATCCTAAAATACTGTTTACGAGTAGGGGAGAAACACTTGCTAAAGGTGTTCTTTGAATTATCTGCAGCATTTGTACTGAAAATTCTCATTGGTTCATTAAAAGAACAAACTGCTGTAACTATTTTGCCTAGGTTGGCTTTTGTCTTATATATGGCATGGCATGACCCCAAAACCTTACGTCACTATGGAAACTAATTCCATGAATTTAAATAGTAAGAAAAATGGAATACTATAACTGGAATTTATTACTGAAAACCTGAATCTTAGAAGAGCTTTGAAATGTTAACTTCAACATTTAGAAGTGCATCTCACCCAATTTAATAATGTCCTTAGGTTTCAAAGTGCTAACTCAAAATAAGTTTTCTTGGCTGTCACCAAATCAAGAATAAAACCACATTTCTTGGAGATGTTCCTTGCCTGTCTTCTAGGACTATTAAAGTTGTAATCAACAATTTATTTCTAAACTTTAGCTTAAATTATGCCATAAATTAATTTTGATGAACATTATTTAAATTCTCAATGCATAAATAATTACCAATAATACGGTAAAATGTACTTCAAGAGATTTACAAGGAATTGTGTGCCTCCAAATTTCTGATCAGTAAAAACAGAAAACACCCCAGATTTTCTGTAAAACATTCATAAAATGGATTTATCCAGCAAAAACACTGAAATTACATTATGGCAATACCACATTAAATATATCTGTTACAGAATTTTGAAAAAAAAAATCTCTACTGAGAAAACATACTAGTTTTTATTGCATTTCAAAGAGTACGGATTATTGGAAATTATCCAGGACACAGAAAATATTTAGAACACAAAACCTTGCTTAACAAAAGTATCAGTCTATTTTGGTGTGACTGCTTATTCCCTAGAGACCCCAAATATTTCTTCCTCTTTTGAAGGTTACAGTTGTCAGTCTACACTCTTGGTTCAATTTATCACTATCTAAATAAGATGAAGAAGCTGTTCAAACTGACCCACAGAATGCAGTATGCCCAGAAGAGGCAAGAACAAATAATTTCAAGACATAACAGGCCCTTATATCTTACTATGCTGCCCCCAAATTCAAATATATTGCAGACGATAACAAATACAGATGAAAACATTTTGTGTAAAGCTCAAACCTTTAGCATCTAACAAGTGCACTCTAGTTCCAGCATCTATGAAAAGAATACATCCTCCATTAACAAATACAAACGAGTAAGTGCTTCTCCCCTCCCCCTCCATAAAGCTCTCCGGACCTGTTAGCACATAATGCAGATCATAGGAAAAGCGGTCTCCTTGCCTCATCAGTCCAACCAGCTCCAGCTCACCTTTGCTGGAAATTGTCATGATGCACACTACCAACACAGTGTTTAGGAAAAATGAGTAAACACACCTTTTATTCACACTTTACAAAAAAAAAATAATAAAATAAAATAAAAACAAAAACCCCATAGAAAGTTATGCATTGGTTCTACGTCGATAGTACCAGCTTTCCAATGTACTGATTATAAACTGGACATGTCTGGTGTCAGCACAACTTAAAAAGCAAAAAATAAGAAGCCGTCACAACAAAATCTTTAAAAAGCCTCAAAGGAAAAACCAGGTCCCAGACAAAGATTCAAGATCAAAACCTTTGGGAAAATTCTTTAAAAAAGAAAAAAAAAATCATTTATTTAAACAGTATGTAATTTTATTTTCTCTTAAAAACAGAATAAGCACATTTAAGTGCTGAATATTTTTCATAAAATTTTAAGTCATTATTCACAATGACTCATCTTCTGTATAAAAATTGTTAATAACATTTCAACAGTTTTTCCTTACTGCTCACATGTTGTCCTTTTGCTCCCCTGCCTGCAGTTGAAACAAAAGCAGTTAGACCAAGTTCCCTCTGAATTCATTTGATTTTTGAGAGAATGAATGAGAACAGAATACACACAAGTTACCTTTGCCTGGCTTTAATCTCTAATCTACTACCGACACTATGGGAAAATACAGGGTACAACTGAACTTTTATTGACCTATTAAAATGACTTAGTCACTCTCTAAATGATCTGAAGAATTGTCTTAGGGACCTGTTTTGAAAATATATCTCATTTACACTGCTTCATAAATGGAGAATTATTTAAGGAAAAAAAAAGGGAATGATTTTTAAAAAAAAGCGCGGAGAGGAAGGACTACACGGAAACCAGAAAGAATTCACATGATAGCAGTATTCCGGGTGACGGACGGCACTGTGCAGTGACACCAAGAAGCAGTGCCGGGGTCTGGTGAGCAAAGACCCCGGGACCCACCCTATGAACATGTTCCAAAATGTGCTATTCAATGCTTCACAATGGGAAAAAAAGCCACAGCTTATACAAAAGCGTTTTCATAAAATTCTCACAAATGTTAAACAGTATTTAAAAAATAGAAAAGAGGATGCACAGATTTTCTCTGCATGCACAGGCAGTGCTTGGTGAGAACAAATTTAGGCAGGCACAGTGGAGATAGGACAGGAAGTGTCTCAAAAAGGAGTTAAGAAGCTGCATTCAAGCAGCTGTAAGTTTGTAACTTAAAAAAGTTAAAGATTTAAAAATATCAGAATGTACATATATCAACCATTACATTCAGTCCATAAATGCCTACAGATCATTCACTGCTCAGCTTATCTGTCCTGGAAGATAGCTTTTGTAAAAACCCAGGAATTCATGGATAAGTTGCCTCTGGTCTGAGAAAATGTCCAAAGCTTTAAGCAGATTTAGATTTAAAGAGCAATGTTCTCAGTTTAAAAATAAAGTAGTACAAAAGGGCCAACAAAACCCTAACAGTGCAAATCATCAGCAGAGAAAGTCTGTTGCAACTTCTTTTACAAGCTGGCCTTTTATAACACATGAAACAGTAAAAAAACTTAGCCTTAGTTTACAATACAATCATTTCCAAATCTGATTTTTTTTAGTACAAAATTTCATAAATCAGGTCTTCTGTGGATCATATACAATCATAAAGGCTAAATTCAAAGTCTCTATTTTACAAACAAGTCTGAAAAGGGAGGGAGTAAAGGATGGAAGAATGGTCTCTGGATGTTATTACTGGCCTCAAAAAAGTAGTGCTACAGATGTCTGTGCAAAGAGAATATGCTGTTCAAACATTTTCCTATTTCAAGGCATGAAAATATCATATCAGACAGAAGAAACAGGAAAATCACTTGTAACAAATTAAAGATAGGTGTAAACACACCAATCCCTGTCTAACAGTATATAAAGCATATTGGGCTCAGAATTTGTCTGTTGCTAGCACCTGGCTTTCATACTATATCCTTATCAAATAATCAAGATTGAAAATTCAAATCATCAAGGAAAAGGAAAAAAAAAAAAAAAAAGAAAAAAACAAAAACTAAACAAAAACCAAACCCTGGTGGCCATACCTCACTCCCCTATATTCAGATTTTATGAGTTTACAAGTGAAACTGAGGTCATCCTCTGAAGGTTCTGGACTACCTCCTGCCAGGAAGGTGAATGCCGTTCACTTGGGGCAGGAAAGGCAGTAAGAGCTCCAGTTGTGCAAAAAGTGAGAAGTGGTCGGAGGGGATGAGTGGGTGTGGGCAGCCGCTGATATTATTCTCAACGAGCCAATGGTGGTCCAGAGGTCCCAGGATGCCTAAAGTGTTCAGCTGAGGTTTCGAATAGAAGATGTAGTCAATTATACCCTGAAAAACAGAAGGAAAAAGAGATGAGGCCTCACGGAAGTGGAGAGCCTTCAAGACATACCCTTACCGTTGCATTTGGGGGACAAAGAAAGGGACAAGCATGGGAGAAGAGACAGTACTATATAAACCAAATGATCCTGGATGTCAAATATAGCAGCAGAATGAAGACAGTTTAGGATGATAATCATTCATTCTTCCTCCTTTCTGGACCTTTTCATAATCTTTAATGAGACCTACAAGAACCTTCCTAGTATGGTCTCAGCTTCTCTTTCCTAACTTGATTTGTATTATTTTTTCATGCTCTTACTCTACTACACCATACTAGCCCTTTTTGGTGGTGGAGGTGGGGGGGTGTATTGGGAGGGGAGAAGGACATTCCTTGTAGGTGTCAAGCTCCTTCCTGCCCCAGGGACTCCACACATGCTATACCCTCCGCCTGGAATACTTTCTTCTATGTGTCATTTGGCTCATTTCTTCTCAATCTTCACGTTGAGTTCAATCATCTCTGCAAGTCCTTCCCAAATCTTGCCCTCACCCACCTGCTACCTGCTACCACCTCCAAGTCTCTTCTCTTGCTCATGCACACTCCAGGTGTAACTACTACACACTCACTTGGGTGCTGGAGACCGGACTCTCCCACCAGACTGCGAGCTCCACCAGGGCCGGGACACCTCTGCCCTGCACACCCGCAGCAGCACGGAGGCCCAGCACTGGGCACCCAGGTAAGCACTTTGGTTTGCCCCTCTCCTCCCTGTAACTCAGCTTCTCCTCCACATGCTTTCAGCTAAGGATATTTAAGCACATTCAAGTGTCTTCCTCTTGTCTCTGTATCAGCAACAGGAAAAGAAAGAAAAAAAATCCCTAATCTCCCCCACGTTTTTGTTATCACCCTCACCTCCTCTTCAATCAATCTGCTTCAAGTAAGAATCTCAATGTTGCTTTTTACTATCTCCTTGCCTCTCCACATTCTTGTCTCTGTGCCTAGCTCTCCAGGGAAGTATCTCTCACCCACAGCTTCTGGAAGCTGAAGGCATGCTTCTCTTCCCCAGAAAGGCCTTCCTACCTTGGCAGTTGGGCTGCTACACTGTCTAGGTTTACCTCCTCTCTCTGGCCCCTCTTCTGTCACTTACATGTTCCTTTTGCCCAGAGTTTGCTCCAGCCTCTCTCCTTCTCCACATATTCATCTGTTCCCAGGGTTAAATCATTACCTACAGCACTGTGCCTCCTCCAAAGTCAAATTTAAAAAACTTCAACCTTTTCAAGTTTCTCAAAGAAGTCTAACAGCCTTCCCCTCTGAAATTAAGACCTAGTTAGCACTAGTATTTAACATTCTAACATACAACCTAACCTGAATGATTCTTTTTCCAGGAGGTTAGAAACTAAGATTCAAGAGCAGAAATGCAAAAGATGGTTAAAAGAACAGATGAATGAAGTCCAAAACAACCACTGGTATTAAAAATGAGGAGAAGCACTATGGCAAGACTCCATATTGTAACCTGTTAACTGTGTCTGAGGGCATATAAATAGAAGATATATTTTTAAATGGCTAATATAAACCACATTTTGGCATTCAGGGAGTACAGTTTCAGTTAAATTAAAATATGAAAGATGAAATACGTCACTCCAATGGACACCTAATTAGATGCGATGGTGAGATAACGATGGTACTTTCTGAACAGCTTAGTTAGCAATGAGCATATAAGAAATGTTAACTGCCCCAAAACCGTGACAGTTAAACTCAGGATTTACAAACATTATTTCATCCAATTTCTTACCCTGGAAATGGCTCTAAGGGGTAACTATCAAGTAGGAACGGGACACCAATCACAGAAGAGTAGTAAGAGAATACTGCTGCCATCAAATTCACGATGGCTTACTTTCAGTCTCAACGCACATCCACATTTCAAAGACATAATAAAGTTACAAGACTCTCCCAAAAAATGGAGGTTTAAAAAGTTTCTCAATCTCAAAAGTCACCTTGAAATCGAACGTGTAATTTGTATAAGGCATCAGGCCACTCTCATAGGCACTCTTCAACTTGAAACCATGTGTGATCCTTCCATTGGTTGTCCCATTTTTCCCATTACAGCTGAAGTTTGTAAGACTTTCATTGTATCTCAGTTCCTTAAAGTCTTTATGATTTGTTTCTACTCCGCCGGTGCTTAAATATTCTACAACACCTATAACAAAAATACAGGTACTTTGTTCACTGTCAAGTAAAATATGCAGTGTACAAAACTGAAAATATGTAATAGTAAATACTTTAAACCACACACTGTCCCTTTCTAAAATGTTTGTTAGTTGTTTTGTTTTGGATTTTTTTTACATTGCCCAGAACCTATCTTAAGTCCATTTTTACATGGTTTTGATCCTAGTGTACTAAATATTTTATATTTTGCTGTGCTGGTCTTTCATATTTGTTGAACTAGTTCTTTATTTTCTTTTTTAATTCAGCTTGTTTTTACTTTTTAAAAAGAGTTTATTTATTTAATTTATTAGAGAGAGAGCAAGCAGGGGAGGGAAGAGGGCAGAGAGAGAAGCAGGCTCTCCACTGAGCAGGGAGCCCGACAAGGGGCTCAATCCCAGAACCCTGGGATCATGACCTGAGCCCAAGGCAGACGCTTAACCGACTGAGCCATGCAGGTGCCCCTTGTTTTTACTTTTTAAAAAGAATTAACTCCATAATTAACATTGGTATCTAGGTTTCTGCCTATGTTGAGTTATTTACTTGGTGTAAAATGCCAAGATTAGGATTAAATGTGCCATTATACATACTGCCAACTACGGAAGAGAATGCCACCAGCTAGGTGGGCTCTGCAAATAGTTATCTTACTTTTCATTTAAATAGTTAGCAAAGTTGGACATTTTCCCATGTGTTAAATACTATTTTTTTAACAATGAAATGAGGCTTAGTATGTATTATTTGGCTAGAGTCTGTCTTTGCCCCTCAGATACTCTGTAGTTAAACAGAAGGCAGAACACATTCAGAGAAACTGCCAGAGGACATCCCCCCTGCTTCAGCAGCAGTGAACCCCAGAAAGCTGGCTGAGATGGCCTGAAGAATTATGGATCTCAGATACCTTTACCTGCCCTGAAAACAAATTTTAATAGTTTTTATCTTCCCCCTGGCTCTCATCCATCATGATGGCAATGAACTGCTAGTGAACTGAACCACTCCAAATGTGACTGTACTTCCATGCTTGGGCACATGTGCAAGGGCTTGGAAAAGTACTTTGTGAGAATGACAGAATATAAATGAGGAGCTGAAACACAAAAAGAGAATACTTAATCTGATATTACAAGAATTATGGTTTTGTTCACTGTACTATCCAATGGAAAAGTATTCAAGAATAAGCCTTTTTGTATTCTTCTACATTGTAATAAAAATCAAGTTCCCAGTTCTTTCTTTGTTCACAGTGCTAGCGTGATCTGTGTAAACGACCTCAATTTCCACCTAAGGTGTAGCAGCATCAGGCCCACCAATTTTTTTTAATTTTTTTTTAAGATTTTTAATTTTTATTTATTTGAGAGAGAATGAGTGAGAAAGAGCATGAGAGAGGAGAAGGTCTGAGGGAGAAGCAGACTCCCCAAGGAGCTGGGAGCCCGATGCAGGACTCGATCCTGGAAGTCCGGGATCATGACCTGAGCCGAAGGCAGTCGCTCAACCAACTGAGCCACCCAGGTGCCCAGGCCCACCATTATTAAGATCCTGTACAGAGCCATTTACACCACATCCTGTTACTACATGCTGGAATCCCAGAGAAGCTATCTTAATAATCTTCTCAGAGTCTGGATTATATGTGACTTGGGGATCATGAAATATAATCATATGTTCTTTAACAAGTTATTTCAAGTTATCAACTACATGTTTATCGAAAATGATTAATTCCCCCCCTTAGGTTTTCATAACATCATCTCGTTTCCAAAACAGTCTCCCTGCTACACACACAAAAAATGTTAAACCTGATTCATAGCTGCTGCTATAAGCTGAATTTTCATTTTGACTAAATTTGGAATTACCAAAAACAATATATTACAACAACATTTTAAGTCCAAAAAAAAAAAAAGCATTCTATATAAAATATCTTTTCTTACCAGAATCTGGCAAAGAATTAAGATCTGCACATAACACCAGTGGAATAGTTCCAAATTCTCCCAATACACTGGACTGGAGGTTTCGTGAGGCTTTATCAATAATGTTCTTCACTTCTGAGAGGAACATCATAGTTTGAACCAACTTCACATCAGAGTATTCAGGGTCCCAATGCATATGAGCATTAGCCACAAGAATAAGTTGTTTTTCTGCTCCAAGATGTGGCTTTCCAGCTATAGTAGGTAAAAAGAAAACAAAGAGACAGACAAAACCCGCCCATCAGCCCATATATTCTCACAGGCTCTGAAAGCAAGTAGTGTATCTCAGAGTCTCAGGAACAAAAAAGGATCCTAAACTCTCCCTAACCACCACGCCCCTGATGACTAATATACCGTACACAAACCTGAGCAACAGTCCTCTGAGCTCTGCTTAAACAGTCTGACGGAGGGCATGCACTACGTGAACACACGTGGTCCATTCTATTTGGGACAGCTTTACTTTTAAACAGTTGTCTCCTTGAAACTGCTGGCTTCATTGATGTCCTAAACTAGTCTCATAAAGTTAAATCTACACCCTTTATCTTATACTTAATACAGGTGCTAAGTTTCATCTCTATTTTCTCTCCTTCAGGTTAAACATCTCCAGTCCCAACTGTTCCCTCGAGTGACACAAGTTTCAGTTCTCAGCATGATGGTCACCCTAAATGTACTTTTAATTTGAAATAAATGGTCCATTTATCCAAAAGCAAAACATTTAAAATAAGGATTACAAGTAGGGCAGGAATACAAGTTAGCTTACAGAGTATCCTTGCTGCCAAGAAATTATAGGCGGGTATGGAGTTCTCTCTGAGCAGTTATTTTAACTAATATTTACTTCAACATTTTTTTTATGTAAAAAAATTACTGGGAAAAAAAAACCACGTTTTTCCTTTGGCTTTATGCCTTTCAAAGTTTGAAATACTTTTCTGGGCTCTGTTTTCTCATCTTAAGCTTTGTGGTGGAGAAAAAGGGATAAGGCATTTTAGAAATGACTTAAATTCTCACTGAGTTTCTTCAGGTGTTAGACAAGACTATTAATACATAACAAATGTTCCGCTTTCTGTTAAATTTTGGAGGTCAATTTTACAGGAAGTGAAAAGGTCACTCACATGACATTTCCATCAATTCCTTTCGAAGTTCTAGCAGTACTGCAACTCCAATGTTATCTTTTGTCATGACTCTGTTCAGCATAGCTTCAGACCCTTCCGAATTTGCCATTGCTAGCTGATTAAATTCAACAGTGTGTTTCTGAACCAAAGTAAATCTAAAACACAAACAAAAACACACACACACACACACACATAGAATTGGGAATACCAAGGTATTAACTTTGTGGGAAATGCAGTTTTCCCAAACTTCCTTAACAAATATGATGGCATGTAAATCACATTATGGAAAATCCTCCACACTTCACACCAAGCTTCCCACATCCGTTTCAAGTTGTTCTCAGTCTGTTACTGATACAGATAACATCCTGAAATACTTTTACAACTTAAGATAATGTAGTCATCTTCTGCTTAAGTTTCATATTGGAATATTCCATCTTGTAATTTTAAAATAATTCTTTTCCAAACTATAGGTTAAGAATCCCTCTACCATCCTAGAGGGAATGTTAATTATGAGGTGTTTCAATTAACAATTGGAGTTAAACCCTAGTGAACACCTGAAGAAACAGCAGCACTTTCAACAAGTCTCCAAAACAAGATCACTTCTGATGCTTCAAAACCAAACCAAACCCTTTAAATCAACAGTGTTGTTTTACTGAGTAGTAATACAATGCTTCACTCTCCAATCTGCCAACTAATTTCCACACCCCTGACTCCCTGCAAATACTGAGAAAAATTTTTTTGAACATAAGATGACTTACTTTTCTGTCTTGAAGAATATTGCACAGCCATCGACATGTTTTCTTTCTTGTTCTGACATTGTCCTAGCTCTAGATTTAGGACTAAAGAATCCATTATAGCCACGTTCTTTCAGTTCTACCAGAAAAAAACTGTAATACTGTTCTGTTTCAACCTCCTGAAAAATTGCAAATGGCAAAGTTATTTCATAAGACAAAAATGAGTCCTATGCATTAACTTTACATGTACAGTTTGAGGGGCTGAAATAATTTCAAAGGACTAATCTGCAGAATAAGGAATGCAACGTCTCTTCAATATACATACATGTCGGTATGTGTGTATTTTCTTGTATTTTAGAATTGATGGGGAGTAAGAATCAGAGAGAGAGGAGGAACTTCGCAGATTCTAACTGCAGAACAGTGACCTGCCCAAGGTTGTGTAAATTATTATGAGCAGGACTGAGACCTCAAAGTTACTGTGCATCAGGTTCGATGCACTTGCCACTATCCCGATTATTCTATTACTGCTGACAGCAAAGCAAAACTATACCTTGACAATGCCGCAATTTCAGTAACTCTGCCACCCAGTTAAAAACAGTGTGAGGGCATTTGGGAGGGAAAGATGAAAACCCAAATGAACCCATTTGCTTCACTTGGCAGTACAATGCTGCAACAAGGCAGGTAGTGAATACTCCCAGGATTAGCTAAAAACAGAGCCAATTGTTTTAAGAATGCTGAGCCAGAACTTCAAATGTGTCAGGGTAATGTGTTCCCAATTTGTCCCTTGCTTATCAACATTGGGGCATCTGGGCAATTTACACAAATTCTTGTGTAAATGACTTACCTGAAGACTTATGATATCAGCATTGCAGCTCAAAATTTCTTGAATAATAGCCTTTTTCCTGTAGTCCCAATTTAGTGCCCAAGATGGACAGTAGCCGTATAACTGCCGGGTCGCATATTTATCACAAAGAACATTATAGCACATGACAGAAAACAAGGCTGTAGGAAAGATAACTTTACTTATTCACACACGTGGCAGAAAAAAAAACAATTTCAATCGTTTTCACTTAAATGCTAAGTTTGACTTTATTCACTCAATATATATTCACTGAAAAGCTACTATATGCCAGACATAACGGATATAAATAAAGTTGAATAAGGAAGGAGCGATAGCTAAACAAATTATAATACGATGTGTTATCTGCTATAGAGATACCCACAGAAGGTTTGAGGCTAAAAGACTAAGGTCTTGAGCCTCTCTGTCTCTAAGATCAGTGTTCATCGCATCTGTACTCCCTCCATCACTCTGCTAAGTGCTAATGCAGAATGTGGAAAATTGACAGTTTTCCTAACAGGCATGGGTAAGTTTCTTCTACAGAGCAACGATCAATTCATATGAAAGGAAAGAGGAATCACAGACCAAATCCTGTTAGACACATCATGTAATTCTCAAACTATTTTCTTTTTTTTTTTTTTTTAAAGATTTTATTTATTTATTTGACAGAGAGAGATCACAAGTAGACAGAGAGGCAGGCAGAGAGAGAGAGAGAGGGAAGCAGGCTCCCTGCTGAGCAGAGAGCCCGATGCGGGACTCGATCCCAGGACCCTGAGATCATGACCTGAGCCGAAGGCAGCGGCTTAACCCACTGAGCCACCCAGGCGCCCCTCAAACTATTTTCATACAAGTTAAGTTAAAAGGAAATCAGAGGCCATTAGTTCAATTTCTCTCTCAAGTAAGTGGTATATACTAGGGTTTGGAAACTTCCAGTATAAAGATTTTGCTGTATTTATTATAATAAATGAGTTTGCTCAGTACTTCAGAGCGGAGCTTCTCAACAGTGGCACCGCTGACATTACAGGTGGGTAAATTCTTTGCCGTGGGGAGTGGGGGTGGGGTAGTGCTGTGAGGTAGCATGCTTAGCAGCATCTCTGATCTCTAACCATGAGATGTCAGTAGCACCTTCCCCAGTTGTGAAAATCAAAATATGTCTCCAGACATTGCTACGTGTCCCTTGGGGGATGAAAATCCCTGAGAAGCACTGCTCTACAGCATCCCTATGGCATAGGAGGGAGGCCAACTAAGTAACAATTAAGTCTTTATTATAATCTCTCAAACCAAATCAATCCTAAGCATTCAACTGTAACACAGCCTGTAATCTAACCCACGCCAACAACACTGTTAGATTTATAATACCAAGTAAAAAGAAGTTAAAAAAATATAAGGCTACCAACCAGTTGGCCTTGTTCTGTCTGGTTCTTGCAACATAATCCAAGATCTTGGAGGTGGCTGTTCTGTTGAAACTAGTTGAATATAAAACACAAAATTAAACAATATTCTTATACATCTTCCTAAAAAAATTGTTTGAACAAATGACCACTTACTTCTTTTTGCAGTACCTGCCAAATTATCAAGCAAATAGTTCAGTAGCCTTCTTGTTCCATCTGGTTCCAGATAGAGGTTCAATATATCCTGGGTAAGTGGATTTCCTGGAAGTATTTTTTAAACAGGTAAAATGAAACCAAGAAAGGCAACAAAGTATTTCAAAAGTAAAAAACATACCAAAATTATCAGATCAACCATAACAATGTATATAGTTACTAGTAATATACCAAACCAGAGGAAATATTTCACCAGTTTTTGATGAGAAGAATAAAAATGACTCATATCATGTTCTAAAGAAGTAGCCAGAAAATGATTATTGTGGATTGATGTCAATGTAGAAGAGATCTAACAGTGCTCTGTATCTGGCCCTGCCTCAACAACACTTTTACGACGATCAAACCCCAGTGAAACCAGAAGGGAAAGAGTGGGAAGGAGGGACAGACAAGGGAAAAGAGGAGAGCCACTATAATCAATCAGCGAATCAAAACTTAAGAATGCAACAAAGCTAACAAGGAGATATCCTAATGACAAATGTAGTTGGCACTTAGAGTCTTTAAAAAATTCTACTAAATAAAGTAATAACAAGATGGGACAGATTTGGTTTAAGACTAAGTCACTAAGGAAAGGGGAAAAACCCCAGGGCTGTGTGCCATCTGTAAATTCAGTAACGGTTTCCGAAGTACCTGAAATGAAAGCAAGAGCAATGATTTACATGAATCTACAAGAGTCTCAAATCCTCTCATAAGGATTTCTTACGTGCCTTCGAAAATTAACAGTACAATGAACTGCTTTGGACAGTGAAGTTCCTACCCATGCCACACAAGGTGGGGGGGATATATTGTTCTGGATGCCACAGCTCCACTAATAAATTTTACAGACTTAAGAAGACAAATGATTCATAAATCACTGTAAAGTAATTGTAAGATCCTTACTGTTCCAAATGAAAAAAGATTTTCAAAGATGTTGCCCCCTCACTTCCCCTGCCAGGGCAGTTTTAGAGAAAGCCAGCAAAAAGAGAAGGTTGAGTAAGATCAGGGTTTCATAATGTAATCTGAATATGCCCAGTTTCAAGTAAAAATCACTCATCATACCAAGAACCAAGAAGATTTCAAACTAAAGGAAGAGTCTAACACCAAGATGACAAAAACATTAGTATGATCTGATCTAAATACAGCAGTCATGACAAAAAATGCTTAAATGAGAAATAGCAAAAACATATTTGAAATAAATGAAAAAACAGGAAGACTCAGCAAAGAAAAAAAGTTTTGGCAAATGAACAAAACATGTTTTTGAAAATGAAAATATTAAAACTACACAACAGAATAAATGAAATAAAAGTTCAGTGGATGGGTTCAACTGCAAAACAGAGGGTCAGAGGAAAGAAGCAGTGAAACAAAGAACTGTAAGAATTACCCAATCTGAACAACAGAAAGGAAACTGCAAAAAAAATGAACAGAGCCTCCGGGACCTGTGGGACCACAACAGAATTCTAAGGGTGGAAGCACAGAACAAGAAGCACTGAGCTGAAACAGTACTCAAAGAAATAATGCCTGAAAAATTCCCCAAATTTGGAAAGAAAAATAAACCTGCAGATCCAAGAGTCTGATAAAACTCAAACAGGATACACTTAGAAGAATGCACAGCAAGCTACACCATAATTAAACTTCTGAAAACTAAAGAAAAAGAAAACCTCTTGAAGGCAGCCAGAGAAAAGCACCCTACCTCTAGGGAGAACACACTCTGAATCACAGCAGACTTTTTGCATCACAAGCCACAGTGGTCAAAGGGAAGCGGCACAAGATTTTTAAGCGCTGAAAAGAAAAGAACTGGCAACCCAGAACCAATACCCAGTGAAAACAGCCTTTAGGAAGGAAGGAAAAATAAATACATTCTCAGAGCACAGAAAACTAAGAGAACCTATTGCCAGCAGATCTATCCTAAAAGAATCAGAAGTTCTCTAAATACAAAGGAAATGATGAAAGAAGGAACCTTGGAACATTAGAAAAGAAAAAAAGACTGTGGTCTTCAGAAGGGGGCAAATATATTAGGCTTTCCTTCCCTTAATCTTTCTAACTTATGTTCAGCCATTAAAATACTTTTGTTAACACTGGTGTGGTTCTAAATATATGTACAGAAAATATTTAAGACAATGATACTATAAACTATAAACGGGAAGTCTTAAAAAGTTAGGGATTCTGAATAAATAAATAAATAAATAAATAAATAAATAAATAAATAAATAAATAAATAAAATCTTTTTAAAAAGGGTGGGGGGAATGCCTGGGTGGCTCAGTTGGTTAAGCCGCTGCCTCCGGCTCGGGTCATGATCCCAGGGTTCTAGGATCGAGTCCTGCTTCAGGCTCCTTGCTCAGCGGGGAGTCTGCTTCTCTCTCAGCCTGCCACTCTGCCTGCTTGTGCGCTCGCACTCTCTCTCTCTCTGACAAATAAATAAACAAATAAAATCTTAAAAAAAAAAAGAGGGATTCTGTATTTCACTCAAAATGATAGCACTAATAGATTTGATAAGTTATGTAGGTTTTCCACAAGAAACTCACTTCAAATGTAACACTATAAACAGGTTGAAAGGAAAAGGATGGAAAAAGATGTCATGAAAATCTTAATCAAAGGAAAGCATTAGTGTCTAATTAGTATCAGATAAAGTTGATCTCAGAGAAAATAAATTTACTAGAGACAGAGAGTGGCATCACATATTGTAAAGGAGAACACACAGCAATTCTAAACATGTGCTCACAAAATGACAGAACTGAAAAATATTTTAAGCAAAAACTGATAGAACTGAAAGAACAAGAGAGAAAATCTACAATTACGCTGGGAGACTTTAACACCCATCTCTCAACGACAGAACCAGAGGAAAAAAACTCCAAACACCATCAATCCAACAGATACTAACTAGGTTAATATATAGGATCCAGCTGAGATTTACAGATCATTCTATCCAATAACAGCACAATACATATTCTTGTGCATGGCCCCAGGAACATAAACTAGTATAAACCACACCCTGGGCCATAAACCACCAAACTTCAACAAATTTAAAAGAACTCAAATCATACAGAATTCTTCAACCACAAGGGAATCACACAAAAAATCAGTACTGAAAGACAAAAGGGAAATCTGGAAACACTCAGAAAATTCTAAATAATCTATGGGTCAAAGAGGAAAATGTACTGAATTAGTGAAAATGAAAACACACATATCAGTATTTGTGGTTGGACACAGCTAACACAGAGCCAAGGGGGAAATTTATAGCACCTAATGCATACAATAGAAAAGGAAAAAAATCTCAATTCAATAATCTAAACTCCAATCCTAAGAACCTAGAAAGAATAAAGTAACTGAAAGCAAAAACGGCAAATTCAAAGCACTAAAGAATAGGAATCACAGAAATTTTTTAAAAAGATCAATAAAATTAGTAAATCTCTACCAAAACTGACAAAGTAAATGAAGACAGAATTACCAATATAAAAAGTGAAAGGGGTATCACCACAAACCCTACAGAAATCAAAAGAAGGGAATACTATGAGCAACTCTACACACATAAATTTAACAACATATATGAATGGGCTATTTCCCTGAAAAATACAAACTATCTGAACTCACTTAGTAAGTAATTTAAATAGCCCAAATACCTATTAAAGGAGATGAATTCATGATTTAAACTACCATGAAAGAGGGGCACCTGGGTGGCTCAGTGTGCTAAGTAAGAGTCAGACCCTTAGATTTCAGCTCGGGTCCTGATCTCAGGGTTGTGGGATCCAGCTACACGTCAGGCTCCGTAGTCTCCGTAGTCGGTGTGGAGTCCGCTTGAGATTCTCTCTCCCTCTTCCTGTGCACCTCCCCCCGCTCCTGCACGCGCTCACTCTATATAAATAAATAAGCAAATAAAATCTCAAAAACTGTCAGAAAAGAAATCTCTAGACCCATATTGTTTTGTTGGGAAATTCTATGAAACAGTTAAAGAATTAACTCTAAATCTATAGACTCTCAGAAAACAGAAGATGAGGGAACACTTTCAAATTCATTTCATAAAGCTAATATTACCTAGATACCAAAACCAGACAGTGAGCATACAAATAAAACTGAAGACAAATACCCCTTGAATATCGAATCAAGAATCCTTAAGAAAGGAGTATCCCTGGAACCTACTAAATAATAAAGCATTTGGATAAATTAAGAATAATCCCAATTAAAAAGCCTGATCATTTTATCCTTCACAAATCCAGAGTCCTGCCATAAAAGAGGGTCAGATCTTGCTATCTGTAAATCCAAGACCCTCACAGGACACCTGCATGATCAGAGGCAGGAAGGCAGAGGCGGCTCAAACATCACACCTGTACTACCCAGCAACAGAACTTAAGTGCTTCTTGCCAGGGTTTAAACTTGAACAGTTTCCACCCAGAAGGAAACCAAGATTTGTTTTCTTCTGCCTGTTCCACACCCCACCCATATGGAGAAAAAAAAAAATCAGAAAAAAAGAAAAAAACAAAACACTGGACAACATCTACCTTCACATAAATAAATTGCCATGTATGTTTTTTTCTTGCTAAAAATAAATAAATAAATAAATAAAAATCCTTAAGAAAATATTAGCATACAATAGTGAGCAATAAATAAAAAGAATCAGAACCATGACTAAGTGGGATTTATTATAGGAATACAAGGCTGGTTCAAGATGCAGAAATCAATTATAAGGGTAAAGAAGCAAAATTATATAATCATATCAACTGATGCAAAATAGGCATCTGGAAAAATTAAAAATCCATTCATGATTTAAAACTCCAGAAAAAGAGGAACAGAGGGAAATGTCCTCAAATTGATAAAGACAATCTACAAAATACCTACTGCTAACATTATACTTAACAGTGAAGACAGAATACTTTGAAAGATTAGGAAAAAGAGGGATGACTGTTCTCATAACTCTTATTCAACATAGTGCTGGAAGTTCTAGTCAGTACATTAAGGCAAGAAAAGAGATGCCTGGATGGTTCAGCTGGTTAAGCGTCTGCCTTTGGCTCGGGTCAAGATCCCAGGGTCCTGGGATCAAGTCCCACATCGGGCTCCCTGCTCAGTGGGGAACCTGCTTCTCCCTCTGCCTGCTTGTACTTTCTTATCTCTCTCTGTGACAAACAGAAATAAAATCATCCCTGTTTGCAGATGACATAATTTTCTACTAGAAAATTCCCAAAAATTTTAACAAAAAGTGTACAAAAACACAAAACAAAACAACTCCTAGAACAAGAAATGAATTCAACAGGGTGGAGGATACAAGACAAAAATACAAAACTCCAATTCAAAAAGATACATGCACTTCTATGTCTGCAGCATTACTTACAATAAACAAGAAATGGAAGCAACCCAAGTATCCATCCACAGATGAATGGATAAAATTGTGGTACATGCATACAATGGAATATTACTCTGCCATTAATAATAATAAAAAAGATCTTGCCATTTGCTACAACATGAATTGACCTGCAGGATATTATACTAAGTGAAATAAGTCATACAGAGAAAGAAATATTACATGATTTCACTTATAAGCAGAATCTAAAAAACAAAACAAATGAACAAGCAAATAAAAACCAAACAAACTCTTAAACACAGATAACAAATGGGTGGTTGCCAAAGGGAATGGGGGGGGGGAATGGAAGGGTAGATGAAAGAAATAAAGAAAAAAATCCATTGTATTTCTATATGCCCAGGAATGTACATATGGACAGCAAAATTTAATACATTATCAGTTATAATTGCTCAAAAAAAAAAAAACCCCAGAAATAAATCTAACAAAACATTTACATGACTTATATACCAAAAACTATAAAATACTAATGGCAAAAATCAAAGCTCTAAATACAGGGAGAGACATGGCATGTTCATGGAGAAGATTCATTCTCCCCAATTTGATCCCAGGTTTCACACAATTCCGATCAAAATCCCAGCAATATTTCTTGTAACTATACACAAGATTATTCTAAATGTATATGTTAAAGCAAAGAATCTAAAACAGATTAAAATGTTTTGAAAAAGACAACTATAATAGAGGAATCTGTCTATTCTATTTCAAGACTGAACTATCCTATTTCAACTTTCAAGTAACTACTGGCAAAGGGACAGACACATACATCAATGGAAAAGAGAAAATCCAGAAATAGATCCACACAGATGTGTCCAACTAATCTTGGGAAAAGGTGTAAATGCAATTCAACCAAGGATAGACTTTTCAACTAATGGTGCTAGACCAATTGGACAGTCAGACTAAAGCATGAACTTTCAACTAATCCTCATTTCTTTTAGCTCAATTTTAACTCCAAATAGATCACAGACTTAAATGTAAACATAAAACCATGAATCTTTTTTCTAAAAAGACTTATTTACTTGGCGGGGGGCAGGAAGAGGGAGAGGTAGAGAGAATCTCAAGCACACTCCCCACTGAGCCCAGAGTCTGATGTGGGGCTCCATCTCACAACCTTGAGATCATGACCTGAGCTGAAATCAAGAGTTGGACGTTCAACCGGCTGCACCACCCAGGCATCCCAAACCATGAAACCTTTAGTACAAAACACAGGAGAAAATCTCTGGGCTCTAGAGCTAATCAAAGCATTCTCAGACTTGACACCAAAAAGCAGTATCCATAAAAAGAAAAAATGATAAACAACTTCATCAAAACTAAAAACTTCTGCTACATACAAGACCCTGTGTGATATTGTGACTTATAATAAGAAATACATATCTGGTCTTTATTTCCTAAAGCTCCTAAAACCATTAACATTTCCTAAGAGAAGAAGTTGTACAGTGTCTCTTGTCACGTTAAGAAAGTAACTTTCAGACCTCACCTAAGGACTGGAGACTGGGTCGACAGAGGAACCAACCATGTGACTGAGAGCTGGAACATTCACTCCAGAGGGGATGGGGGCTGCAAGCTGGCTCAGTCATCACGGCCAATGATTTAATCATGCCTATGTTATGAAGGATCTGTAAAAACTCAAAAGTGTGGGGTTCAAAGAGGCTCCAGGTTGGTGCACACATGGAGATTCGGGGAGAATGGCGTACCTGGAGAGAATGGAAGCTCTGTGCCCTCTCCCCATACCTTGCCTTATGCATCTCTTCCTCTGGCTGTTCTGAGTTCTATCCTTTTATAATAAACTGGGAATCTTGTGAGTAAACAGGTTTCCTGATTACTGTGAGCCACTCGAACAAATTAATCGAATGCAAGAGGGGGTTTGTGGGAACTTTGGTCAGAAGCACAGGCAAGGAGCCATCATGTAAGACTGAACCCTTTTAGCTGTGGAATCTGATGCTATCCTTGGGTAGGTAGTGTCAGAATTTAGCTGAATTATAGGACCTCTAGCTGGTGTCCTAGAACGGCTTGCGGTGTGGGGGAAAGCCCCCCCAGCACCGGAACTGGGTGTGTTAAGTGGATAAGAAGACTCCATACTGGGAAAACAGTATTTGCAAATCACATATTTGACAAAGGCCTAGTATCTAGAATATATTACAGACTCCCAAAACCAAGAGTCCAATTGAATAGAACATGACAAAAACAGAAAACTATGCCACAGATGATGACATACAGATGACCCATAAGCACATGCAAAGATGTGCAATACCTTTTGCTAACAGGGAAATGCAAAAAACCCCGCGAGGATATCAATACACATCTATCAGAAAGGCTAAAGAAACAACAGTGACAACACCAAGCTGGTGAGAATTCCGAGTAACTGGATCACTCACTTATCACTGGTGAAAATGTTAGTACGGACACCCTGGAAAACAGTTTGGCCAATTCCTAAAAAACTAAACATGACACTAACATATGACTGAGCCAGTTGCATTCCTAGGCACTTCTTCTAAAGAAATGAACACTTATGTTCACATAATAACCTCTACACAGCTCATGCTTCATCCATAATAGCCAAACACTGGAAACCAGCCAGAAGTTCTTCAACAGGTAACCAGTTAAACAAACCATGACATGTCCATACCATGGAACACTGCTCATTAATATAAAGGAGCAAAACACGCAAAAACCTGTGTGAATCACCAAAGAATTCACCTGAGTGGGGAAAAAACCAATCTCAGAAGGTTACATATAGCATGATTCTACTTATACAATATTCTTGAAATAACAAAACTACAGAAATGGAAAACATATCAGTGGTTTTCTGAAGTTAACAACTGAGCTGGGGCAAGCTCAAAAAAATAAAGAGGATTTGTCCAAAAAAAGGTACAATCAGTGAAACTATCCTTCTGAGAAAGAAGCATGAAACCTAGATGTCAAACATGAGAGGATTTTTCTGAAATGGAAGATCAAGGGAGCCTCAAAAACTAAGGTGCCTCAAAGACTGTCCTACCCCTCCTCAATACTTCAAAGGCTTTCATACACATTAACTCAATGTGAAAATCTGTGACTGATGACCCTCACTTCAAATAAAGTTTGTGAATCCTTAGAGAAATGAATAGAGTCAAAGGTTTGTAAAATAAATAATGCAAGATTATAAAACCTGAAACTACTAAGAGGACATAAAAATAGTAGCTGCCTCTGGGATGAGAAAGGGACCTGAAGAAGAGGGTTTTCACACTCTGTAATGTCCTGTTTCATTTGCATTAGAAAACGGACACAAAAGTGACACACTATTGTTAATTCTTATTGTCAGGATACAGATACATGTTGCTACGCTTTACATTTTTGTTTTTCAAAGTTAAAATAAGAAAATGTCAAAAGTACGCTCAGCATAGGGTGACAGATCTACAGACGTCTATTTTAAGAAGCCACAGCCAAGTCCAGCCGATACAGAAAAACACTTTCTAAAGAACCATTTATAAAGCTAATACTTGTTGAATATGGTTTTACATACATCTGTAGAGGTATTATTTATGTTTTTCCATTTCATTTGTTTTTGTAAAATTACTGTTACCTTTATGATATAAAATGGATTTATAGGAATAAAAACCTAATTTTACTACCTACATATTTTTTTTTTTAATGTCTTTTTTTTTTTTAAAGAGTTTATTTATTTATTTGACAGACAAGAGATCACAAGCAGGCAGAGAGGCAGGCAGAGAGTGAGAGGGAAGCAGGCTCCCCGATGAGCAGGGAGCCCAATGCAGGGCTCAATCCCAGGACCCTGAGATCATGACCTGAGCTGAAGGCAGAGGCTTAACCCGCTGAGCCACCCAGGTGCCCCACTACCTACATATACTTAAGAAATAAAGAGTACAATTCTTAAAGACTTCATTATGTGACTGTTTTTTAAGAATTTATTATAGGGTAAGATGGATACAAGATTGGTGAATCACTTAATGTGATTAAAAAAATAGGTAATGACATTTTATTAAATGACTTTTAATCTTGCTGATTTAAAAAACATATTTCCCAATAGTTCTCAATGGATCAATTATGCCCTCAAATTCTAATGGAGTAATGAAGTCCTCATAAAACTACAGTCTTAAAAAAAAATGATCAAAACTGATTGTTACTAGCAGGTCCAAATGGCTCAAAAATTTTTTACTCATTGATTTCTGCACTTTGTGAGTCTCCATTTTTTGAGGTTTGAATACAGCGGGGAAAAAAGCTGTTTACAGTATGATGAAATAAAGTATGACTTCAAGAATGCATCATCAGAACACAGATTTGATCAAAACAAAGGATAGAAAGCAAAGCTGGGCTAGGAGTGAAAGAGAATAAATATAAAGATTAACAGACAGTCTGCAGGTGGACAAGAAAGAAAATCACTGGGGTATATCTAAGGAACAGATGAATTTTGGGGAGGAGTGAGCCTGCAAACCCCCGGCAAAAGAATGCCCTATTATGGCTTCTCTAGACTCAAAGACATACGTACAAACCCCAAGAAACACAAATACAGGAAGTCATACCTTTCAGGCCTAAAGTCTGCAACTGAAACAGTTTTCCCAGCTCAAAAGGTAGAACTCGTAACAGGTTGTTATTTAAATGGAGTTCCCTGTGGACATAAAAATTCCATGTCAGAAGATATATTACCTTTTAACTCATAGCTAAAATCAGCAATATGGTTTCTAAGAATATAATCTTATAAGAATGAAAAAACTGTATTGCATATTCCAATGTCTAGTGCAGAGCTTCACAAACAACAGATGGTAAAGAACAAAAAACAAAATAATCCCAAACTGCCACAGACCAATACATTTTTAAAACACAATGAAAAAATGAATTATTAGAAAAATGAGATGAGAAAAAAAAAAAATCAGACCAACAAGACACAAGCCCTAATTTTTAAAGAGCATTAAATTCAACAGATATAAAACTACTCTGACATGTTGCATATGTCACTGTAGAACGACAACACCATCTGCAACTGCACAGTCCACACACCACCCCGGGAGCAGCACTGACCCAGCACACATGGAGTCTACTAAGAAAGTGAAAATGATAAACAAACTAACACATGAATTGTTAAAGGAGAACTAAAATGATCGTGTAGCACCAACTGAAAATAGTTTATGACAGCTACAAAACTAAGACTATTGTTAATACTTCTCCAAACTAAATAAAATTCCAATTTAGAAATAATGGCAGCTATATTAACTGCCAATGGTTATTTTAATGACTTTTTTTTGGTAGAGATAACTATAACTATCAAAGGAATCTTCAGTAGGAAAAAAAAGACCCAACGGTGAGACACAATTTTCTCCAATAACTTTTATTTGTCAATTTTTAAATGTGAGTAAGTACTACTTCTATAACCCCTAGTTCTTGGAATTTAAATGAACCTTGGTTATTACTTAGTGAACCAGAGGTCAATGAATGGTGAGGCCATAAACCGAACCAGAACAACTAGTTTTAAATAATTTGTTCCTATTTATTTCCACATATATCACATGGGAAAGGAGGTCTTTTAAGGAGATTAAAAATGGCCATAGTATATACTCAGTAATTAAGCCCAAAACAATGTCAAAAAGCTGGACTAGGAGCAATAAAGAAACTCTCACAAGGTCTTATTCCTTTTTATTACACAGCAAATGGTAGAAGATAGCAAAAAAGCCAGTGGAATCAGAGAAAAGGGAAGTAATATGAAATGGGGCAAGATTTTCCATTAGGATTAACATAATAACTGGAAATTAGCTTTACATTCAATTTGGGTAGGTTCCATCTACCCTACAGAGATAATAAAATAAATAGCAATTACCATTTATTAAATAAAATATGTGTCAGGCAGGAGGCTAATAGTTTCTTACTCATTATTTCAGATATATCTAATCTCAGCCCTGGCTAGGTAACTATTATACAGCAACTGTATACAGGACAAAACTGCTCAGCAAGGTTAAGGAGCTTGCCCCAAATCACACAACCTGTAAATGGCAAAGTCAGGATTCTAAATTGAACTGTGTGACTCCACAGCCTATCTACCACCTATACTCCACACTATAGTCCCCCAAATCCAATGACTAATTCTAGCTTCTTTCAAGTCCAGGCTTTATTACTATCACACATACAAGCCCAGGAATGGCCAAAAAGGTTTCGCTCATTTGCAGTGGTTTCCAGGACGCCATGTTAGCCATGGTACAGGGCCCCAGAATGTTAAGAGGGAAAAGCACCACAACCATCTGTCACAGGTGAGTGCATATGTGGGATAATATAACTGCCTTCTATTTGCTGACCCCTACTTTGTCCAAATATCTTAAGAATAAAATATATCACACAAAATATAGCAATAAAACAAATTTGAGGCAAGGAATCTACTGGATTTATTTGTTGGCTGACATTCAATTTTCCCAGAAAACTTTACAAAGAGGATATAGTTATGTTTGCTTTTTGTTCAAATACCATTTAATTGGTAGTGCTGTTTCCTGGCAAAATAAATGCTCTATTTTGTTCTTAGAGGGTATAAAGTCACATAGCAAGTCGAATCTGCACACCTGAGTGATACCATGTTTCCGAGTTCTGCCGGTAAACTCCGGATTTTATTAGAGGACAGGTCCAGATACACCAGATTGTGAAGCTTGGCAATGTCTGAAGGAATGCGGGACAGGGAATTGTCACTCAGATGCAAAGCTGTCAAGTGAGTTAGTGACCACAACGATGAGCTTAAGCTTCTTACTTTTCCTGTAAGAGAAGAAACAAATGGGAAAGGATTATATAGCATTCTCTACATTATGGTCCCTGGATTAAGTAACATTTAATGTTCCAGTGAGTATTATTACACAAAAAATTGTGAAAAGGGTTTAACGGGAGAAAGTTTCCCTATTCTAGGACAATGCACTGCTACGATTAGGTTATAAACTCTCCTTAGCAAACTTAAAAAAACCTCAACGTTTAGATTGCATCACCATTTTTAAGGGCACAATAGTTAAGACTTTATCCTTTAAAGTTGCCTTACCTATGACATGAAAGAAACAGTACGAATAATTTATATTGATAATAAATCCAGTATTTTACCATGATTACTTTAAAATTATGCCCAAAAAATCAAACCCAAGATCTCAGAAACTGTTCCTATCTATACTCTAGAAAATAAGAATTCTGCCTGAAAACAAAAGGTAAACATATTCTCAGCTTAGCAAAGTTTTAAGACCAGTGTACCCAAATGGTAATTGCATCAAGAATCATGTGACTAAAAAAAAGCTGTACTGAAAATTACAAGTAAAAATACTTGCCCAGACACATTACAGATATGAAGTCATATACATCAAACAGTAGCAGACACAAGATTCAGTAACTAAGAAAAGAATAATTAATTTCAATGCAACATGAAATCAGTACTTTGGTACATACTGATAAGATGACAACCATTTCTACAATCCATCTAAGAACTAAGAACTTTCCCCCTATCTCTTTAATACCCAGGACCTAGTCTGAGACAGAATGAAACAAACAGCCGTAATGAAAATACACTAGTCTTTACGAACTGATTTTCTATTGGCTGAAAAAGCAATCTTGAGAGTTCTAATCAAGATGGAGTAACAGGAACCAAATTTACTATCCTACCTGGACAACTGTCATGCCAGACAATTGATTCACAATTTGTTGTGAATCAACAAATTTCAGACATAAGACCTCAACCAGTGCAGAAAAGTGACCCCTGAAGGACCACAAAGAAGGCAAGCCCTACAATTGTCTCAGCTTGTGAACAGCAGCACAGGGAGGGAATCCCAGGGGCAGCACAGTGATCTCGCCTAAGTTCTGGAGACAGGGAAGCCAAGATGACTAGAATTTACAGAGGCAGAGTACCAGACAGGAGAGAAATGAACAGACAAAGAAGTCTGGAGATGGGAAAAAGGTCCCCCCACAAGTTTTTTTTTTTTTTTTTAAGATTTTATTTATTTATTTGACAGAGAGAAATCACAAGTAGGCAGAGAGGTAGGCAGAGAGAGAGGAGGAAGCAGGCTCCCTGCTGAGCAGAAAGCCCGATGTGGGGCTTGAACCCAGGACCTGGGATCATGACCTGAGCCGAAGGCAGCGGCTTAACCCACTGAGCCACCCAGGCGCTCCCCCCACAAGTTTTAAGCTGAGTATTGATCAGTATAAAAATGTGAGAAATTGCCTGGGCCAGAGGAACACCCAAAAGGAGAAGAAACAACAATCCCCAGGAATACACAAAAGTAAGGCTAGCTGGTGTTCCCAAATACCAAAGGGAAAGATCTCATAATTCAAAAGGTGCCAGACTTAGAAAATCAGCCCCGGACTAAAGACCATTCTGGTCTCACCTAAGAAAGTTAAAGAGCAAGCCTCAAAAGAATTAAACTGTTTCTAACCATATCCCAAAACAAAGCTCAATACATGTTATAGGAATACAAAAATATGCCATCACCCAACAAGGCAAAATCTTTAATGTACTGCAAGAAAACAAATCCTATGAACCTAGTAACTGAACAAAAACATCTTTCAAAAATGAAGACAAGTTACAAGATGTAAAGAGCTATGGAGATGGATGGTAGTGACGGTAGCACACCATTAAAAATGTATTTGATAAAAACCTTCCCACAAACAAGATTCGAGAATCAGAGAGGTTCACTGGTGAATGCAACCAAACATTTAAGGAAGAACTAATAACAATTCTAGAGACTGATCCAGAAAACTGAAAACAAAAAGATACTTTCCAATTTACTCTATGAGGCCAACATCACCGATACCAAAACGAAATAAAACTAGTGCAAAAAAACAAACAAAAAAAGTACAAATCAAATCCCTCATGAACATAAACGCAAATTTTAACAAAATTTTAACAAATCAAATCCAACAATATATTAATAGGATAATGACCAAGTAAGATTTGTGCCAAGAAATCCAAGGTTTATTAAACATTTGAGGAAAAAAATGATTCAAACACTTTTCTTAGAAAAGAAAATCATCTATGTAGATATAGAGAAGCATCTGACAAAATCAACATTTAAAATCAGCATTTAAATGAAATCACGAATTAAATTTTTTAAAAAGCTCTCTCAATAAGCTAAGAATAGAAAATTCTTCCATCTTGACAAAGGGCATCAATAAAGTTAGCGGCAAGGGAATGAATGCTTTCCTCCTAAGAACAGAAACAAATCAAGGTATGTCCACTATCACCAATCCCATTCAAAATTATGCTGGAAGTTTTAGCCAATGGAATAAGACAAGAAAAATCTAAAAGTGGAATGACAGAAGTCAAGTTATGTCTATCTGCAAATGGCACAATCATCTGTGTAAAAGCCTAAGAATCTACAAAAATACTATTAAATAAGTAAGTTTAGCAAGGCTGTAGAATAAAATATCAATATACAAAATATCTACTGTATTTTTATATATAGCAACACACAACCAGAAACTGGTATTTAAAATAACATTTACAACAGAACCAAAATTATGAAAAAGAGGCAAATCTAACCCCTCCAAAATGTGCAGGACCTGTGTACTCAACACTACAAAACACCCTGAAAGAAATCAAAGAAGTCCTAAATAAGTAGAGAGGTATATAAGCTTCACAGATCAGAAGATTCAATATCATTAAGATATTATATCTCTCCAAACTGGTTTACAGAGAGTCACATGGTCACAATCACAATGCCACCATGTCTGAAACTGGCAAGTTGATTCTAAAATTCACATGGAAATTCAGAGGCCTTACAAAATTCAAAACAACTGTGAAAAAGAACAAAGCTGGAAGACTAACACTACCTGATTTTAGGACTTATATGTAATAACTCTCAAAACTCAGTAAGAAAACAACCCAATTTTCTTCTTTAAGGTTTTATTTATTAGAGAGAGAGAGAACGTTAGAGTGAGAGAGAGCACACAAGAAGAGGCAGAGGGAGAGGGAGAAGCAGACTCCCTGCTGAGCAGGGAGCCGGACTCCAGGACCTCTGGATTAGGACCTGAGCTAAAGGCAGATGCTTAACCAACTGGGCCACCTAGGCGCCCACAACTCAATTTTCAAAACAGCTAAAACATTTGAACAGACACTTTACCAAAGATGACATACAGATGGCAAATAATCACATGAAAAAAAATGTTCAACATCAGCATCATTAGGGAAATGCAAATTAAAACCACAATTAGATTTAAAAATAATAATAAAAAATAAAACCACAATGAGGTATTACTACACACCCAGAAGAATGGCTAAAATTAAAAAGACTTGCCTTGCCAAGTGTTGGTGAGGCTATGGATCAAAGATATCTAGTATAAATGTAAAATGAGAAAACCTCTTTGCAAAAACAGTTTGAGTTTTTTTAAAAGTTAAACCTTAACTTCCTTATGATCAGTTTCATTCTTTGGTATTTATCTCAGAGAAGAGTTTCATACACTACAAAGAATTGTATATAAATGTAGCTGTATTTGTAATAGCCAAATACCAGAAATCATCCAAATATGTCCAACAAGTAAATGGATAAACAAACGCTGACATATCCTAATAATGGAATAGTAATAAAAAGAATGAACTATTAAAAACCCAACTGCATGAATGAATATCAAAGTAAGTAGAGAAGTTAGACCAAAAAGGGGTGGGGTAGACATACTGTATCACTTCCTTTATATAAAAATTCTACAAAATGTAAACCAATCCTATGGTTTAAAAAAGCAAAACAATCCCCAATCCCAGGGATTGGGGAAGGGGCTGGAGAAATGAAGGAGGTAGGGAAAGGGAATTACAAATCTGGGGAATGACGGGTATGTTCCTTGAGTGTTGTGATGGTTTCAAAGATGTACACACAGATCCAAATATAGCATCACATCATTCACTTTGCATACATACTAATCATTACATGTCAACTATACCTCAATACAGCTTTGTAATAAAATCTTATCTTGATCTGAGAAAGTGTCTTTCCTTACTGTGCAATAATGAGAAAATATAGCATAACCTATCTGTAAAACAAATTTACTTTTCAGTTCATAAAACTAAAGCACACAGCTAATAATCAGTATAAATACTTAAAACATCACAAACGACTGAGTGCGTGTTTTGCATGTGTTTCATCCTCAAGACACCACTTTGAGAAATTCATTTTTATACATTTTTATACTTGAACTTAATAGGAAGGATACAAAATTCTCAATCAAGAAGGTAACCAGAAAGGAAACCAAGAAGTCTATAAAGAAGGAAAGGTGGGGGGGGGGGGGGGAATCAAGTATAAGAGTCATGTATAAAGACATCAATCACACAGGGTTGAAGGGAGACAGAAGACTCAGATCTCGACCATATACAGAAAAGTAAAACTGAAATAAATTTCTTAAATGCCGAAAAAACAGAAAAGTAATGGAAGCCTGTATTTCTAAACATAATTCAAACCCTAGAATCCAAAAATGAAAACACTGTCAGGTTTGAATTCATTTAAATTCAAAACCTCTACAATGTGGAGATGCCAACATGTATGGCAGTCAAAGAGAGAACACTCATTCATTCAGTCAACTTTCAGGGACTGGTATGGGGACAGAATGGTAAATCCAAAGTTCCCATGCTCAGGCAATGAAAAATAAAACAAAAATAGGAAAATGAACAACAGATAAGAACAAGTAAATTATTCAAGAATAAACAAAGGGTCAAAGGGTCAGTTATTTTTAAAAAATGATTTCAGTAATAAAACATATACAAATTTAAACAACAAAATATTCATTTCTATCAGGCAAAC